TTTATCTGTGTTTTTACAAAGCCGGCAGCTAAACAGGAGTTCCAACTACAGCAAGACAGGACATGAAACATAAAAAGTTAAAAGACAGACAGAGAGATGAGAGAGTCAGCAGTGAGGAGTAGAATAAGAGGGTTAGCTGGGAAGAGATAAAACCCTTCAAATAATATCTAATATTTCTTCACAAAGGACATCATATGAATCCTTAAAGGTGATCTAAAGAGAATTACATCAACTGTTCTGTTGTCCTTTTGATTCATCTGGTTTTAAGTTGTCATTTCATGGCTGTTATTCACATTATTTTACAGTCGGAGTCTCACATCCTTTTCGAGTAAAAGAAGCAATGGAGTCAAAACTGCTAATATTTGCCGCTCAAAAGTAGAAGGGATAACATTCAAAGTAAAGAAATACTTGTGTTTAGATTTAGACTGAATATGACTTCAGTTGATTAGGGAAACTTGTCGGTATTTGAGTTTCTTTGTGTGGACTCTGACTCCCTCTGCTGGTCAAATGAGTACCAGTAGGCTGAGTAAAATATATATTTAGATCCAATACATGCCTTTGGCTCATTTACTCAACTTATTTGATATTGTGCCAACAAAACAGCATTTCTAATGTTATTGCCAAACATCCCCAGAGACAGTCTGATGTCTCCTCTCCCAGTGGGGGAAAGTTACAAAATACATTCTGTAGTAGTTAATATTTGATAAATTATTTATAACTGTATTGCACTGTAGGTGTACTGAGTTTTAAAGAGTCCTCTCCTGCTGATGTTCAGGTGTATATCAGTATGTAGTGTCTCTACTTTAAAGAGTCCTCTCCTGCTGGTGTTCAGGTGTATATCAGTATGTAGTGTCTCTACTTTAAAGAGTCCTCTCCTGCTGATGTTCAGGTGTATATCAGTATGTAGTGTCTCTACTTTAAAGAGTCCTCTCCTGCTGATGTTCAGGTGTATATCAGTATGTAGTGTCTCTACTTTAAAGAGTCTTCTCCTGCTGATGTTCAGGTGTATATCAGTATGTAGTGGCCTCTACTTTAAAGAGTCCTCTCCTGCTGATGTTCAGGTGTATATCAGTATGTAGTGTCTCTACTTTAAAGAGTCCTCTCCTGCTGGTGTTCAGGTGTATATCAGTATGTAGTGTCTCTACTTTAAAGAGTCCTCTCCTGCTGATGTTCAGGTGTATATCAGTATGTAGTGTCTCTACTTTAAAGAGTCCTCTCCTGCTGATGTTCAGGTGTATATCAGTATGTAGTGTCTCTACTTTAAAGAGTCCTCTCCTGCTGATGTTCAGGTGTATATCAGTATGTAGTGCCTCTACTTTAAAGAGTCCTCTCCTGCTGATGTTCAGGTGTATATCAGTATGTAGTGTCTCTACTTTAAAGAGTCCTCTCCTGCTGATGTTCAGGTGTATATAGTGTCTCTACTTTAAAGAGTCCTCTCCTGCTGATATTCAGGTGTATATCAGTATGTAGTGTCTCTACTTTAAAGAGTCCTCTCCTGCTGATGTTCAGGTGTATATCAGTATGTAGTGTCTCTACTTTAAAGAGTAATCTCCTGCTGATGTTCAGGTGTATATCAGTATGTAGTGTCTCTACTTTAAAGAGTCCTCTCCTGCTGATGTTCAGGTGTATATCAGTATGTAGTGTCTCTACTTTAAAGAGTCCTCTCCTGATGATGTTCAGGTGTATATCAGTATGTAGTGTCTCTACTTTAAAGAGTACTCTCCTGCTGATGTGCAGGTGTATATCAGTATGTAGTGTCTCTACTTTAAAGAGTCCTCTCCTGCTGATGTTCAGGTGTATATCAGTATGTAGTGTCTCTACTTTAAAGAGTCCTCTCCTGCTGATGTTCAGGTGTATATCAGTATGTAGTGTCTCTACTTTAAAGAGTCCTCTCCTGATGATGTTCAGGTGTATATCAGTATGTAGTGTCTCTACTTTAAAGAGTCCTCTCCTGCTGATGTTCAGGTGTATATCAGTATGTAGTGTCTCTACTTTAAAGAGTCCTCTCCTGCTGATGTTCAGGTGTATATCAGTATGTAGTGTCTCTACTTTAAAGAGTCCTCTCCTGCTGATGTTCAGGTGTATATCAGTATGTAGTGTCTCTACTTTAAAGAGTCCTCTCCTGCTGATGTTCAGGTGTATATCAGTATGTAGTGTCTCTACATGTCTCCATGCTATAATGTTCAAAAAGCTCTTTATTGTTCTCATACTGCCTGTGCTGCAGCACCTCTTTTCACCCTCTGTCTGAAACCAGAGCCCAGTCTGCTCTGATTTCTCGCATTAGTGTTGCATTACAGTCACTTTATGAAACACAGAGATGACTTAGTGTAAATCTAAATGCGTCAAGGTTGCTTTTATCACAGCAGAAAGGAATAAAGGGATGACATCAGCTGATTACATGAGAACATGGATAATTAAATGGAGCAGCCACACCAAAGTGTGTCCTAACAACAGGGTGGAGAAGTTCATAAAAGTATATAAAAAATAAAACTCTGATAAAACCACGTCCTGTGCTGGAATCGCTCCGAACATCAGTTAGAAGGGCGACTCACTTTTTAATTAAAGTACGAACACAGTACATCTTCCTATTACATAAGGGATAGTGGTGGTCTAATGGATAGTGAGGTGGGGTGAAGATCGGACGGTCGTGAGTTCAAATCCCGCCAGGAACACCACCACTAGTGCGCCCTTGAGTAAGGCACTTAGCCCTTAGTTACTCCAGGGAGAATGTCCCTGTAATCGGTAATTGTAAGTAGTTTTGGATAAAAGCGTCAGCTAAATGTAATAACAATATATAAACAGTCAGCTTCATTTTCAGTGCAAAACGCTCCAAAGACAAGATTTTAATTGTGAAACACGTCATTGTCATAGCTACTATCGGTTTACGACATTAACAGATGATGACTCAATGACAACCAAGCACTCTCTATAAATTACTGAGCTGCTATCTTGGATTACTCAAAGTCTAACAACACTTAACTGACTCTTTAAGTAGGTGACTGGTATTTAAAACATCCACTTCCTGTAAAATCCATTTTAGTAGTTAACCTCGAAATAAAATGTTCAATTTAACTGCTTTTTTAGTAGTTTAACTGGTATTAAAACTCAATGTTAACCTTACCAGATACATATACTAATGTTCAAAACCAAAACTCAACTTCCTTTTAAGTAGTTTATCTGCTAGTTAAACTAATATCTAGAACTTCCACTTAAATATCATTTTTAAAGTCTCTCTTGTACTTTAAACCTCTCCTGTACGTGCTGTAAACACACATTTAAGCGAGGTTAAAAGCCTTAATTGGTATCATCCATAACGCAAGAAAAGATACAGAAAAATCCGATCTTGCTCCACTCAACATAGCCTACACTAGACTATGCAGATTTGTTCTTGGTTGTCCTTTTCGTACACATCACTGCACAATGTATAACCAGCTTAAATGGCCTTCATTAAATGTAAGAAGACACATACATTGGCTTCAGCTGATATTTAAATGCATTTATCTTAACTATCCCCCTTATTTAAAGCAGTATGTCGTACCCAACTCGCCAAATCCTCAAGTTAGACACTGTCCAGATTTATTTCTCTGTCAAAAAAATCGATTGGCAGAAGAGCGTTCATTTTCAAAGCCCCAACGGACTGGAATACTTGACCTGCTGCTATTAGATCTCTTGCATCATTGGGTTTGTTTAAACATGCATTGTTATCTCACTTTCAACTGGTCTGCACTTGTTATTGATGAAACTGATTTGCTCGACTGTCTCAAATTGTAATGATTGTAATGATTGTATGCATTACTTGAATTGTACTAAACAGACTGTACGTGGTTTGTCTTGTGTGTCATGTTTTACTTTTTATTTATGTATGTCTGTAAGTTGTTGCTATTGTCGGGACCCCTTGAAAACGAGATGATGCATCTCAAGGGGTTTATCCCAATAAATAAAATGTCTATATGTAAGACATTCAATTTTCCTTGAATCTTAATAATATAAAAGGTAAACCCAGGCCTGAAGCTGTTTGTTTCACTTTGAGTAAGATGACAAACGGCAGTGTTTTTGTCACATAACAACAAGCCATACAGTATGTTGTAAAAGATGAGGCGGTGCCATCGTAAACAAAATAAAAATAAAGTTCAATAAACCTTTGCTCTGTGTGCCTGTTTTTGGCTCACCATCTGACTCCCATCAAGTCCCCATTGGCATCCATACAGATGAAATCAAGCAGGGAGTTTCATACAAATACTTGGGTGTAATGATTGACCGTCTGCTGTCATGGAAGGACCACATTGAATATCTGTGCAAAACAAAGAATGTATTTTCTCCGCCGTCTTAGGTCTTTTACATCTGTGATCCTGTCCATTCTACAGTACTGCAATACTACCTGGTACAAGTGTTTGACAGCAGCTTTCAAATCAAAACTGCTCCACCTGCTGTCCAACAACATCATCTCTGACCCAAACCATGTTCTGAACAGTGAATATGAACTGCTACCATCTAATGGGAGATGCAGGGTCCCACCATTCGATAAAGTCAGACTGAAGCACTCCTTTGTGCATCAGTCAATCCTCACAGTAAATACAGAGCTACATCCTAAGCTACAATGGGAGGTGTGTGGCGCAGTGGGTTGTGCGTTGGTGTTGGGGTTAGGGGGTCACAGGTTCAAACCACACTGCAGTCAGCATGTCGTTGTGTCCCTGAAGACACCTCACCCCAAATTGCTCCTGTGTCTAACAAGTGACATGTGATGTAATGTACTTTTAACTTTTGGTAAAGAGTATTTTGTTGGCACTACTTTATGCATTCCACTTGAATTGAGTTTGCAGTGTGGTGGTGATGCAACCTCTACTGAACACAACTAGAGATAACAGCAGAACGTGTAAATAAAAAGTAGGAGTGTGTGTGTGTGTGTGTGTGTGTGTGTGTGTGTGTAGGGGTGTGTGTTGAACTTTGTGCTCGGTTATTACCAGTTAGAGTTAATCCAGGAGGATCTTTCAGCAGAGCGATTCCTCTGACTTTACTCTGAGCAGCTGCTGTATGAAGCCAGTCATCTGAAACAAACGGAGCTTAAGTTTGACTTTTTATTTACATTTTTATTAGTGGTTTTTCAGTTTCTGAGAGGCAGCCATGATTAGCCGTAACTTTAAGAACGTGCTGGTGGTCTCTGTCGGGTTCCTCTCACTTTTCACGGCTTATGGAGGCCTGCAGAGTTTACAGGTAAGTGGAAAAGTGTATTATTTATTAAACAGAGTTGTGATATTGTCCATTATCCGTTCTGGATTAGTTGAAGTTGTTTAAGCGATTTTTTTACTGAGACCAGTAAATACACTGTTAATGTTACGGTGTGTGTAGGAAGCAGGACCCAAATGCAGATTAAAGTGACAAAAAACTCCTTTATTTCAAGGCCATACTATAACATAAAGACTAAACCGAACACTCACCGAGGAACAAGCCATATCACAAGACGAACCGACAAAGACAGACAGAAAAACCAGAACTTAAATACACACAAGACTAATTATACAAACAAGACACAGGTGAGGAGGGAGGAGAAAACACAGGGACACCAGGTGCACACAATCGGGTAATAAGACACACCAGGGAAACTAACGACAGGGAACCACAGACAGATCTAAAGACAAAACACAACGCAGACAGAAAACCAAAGACAGATCTAGACAAGACACAACGCAGACAGATCTTGACTGTTACAGTAATGAAGCTGCTAAAACAAATGCATGAACTCGTTTTTCAAGGTCTTGTTGAGACATGAATGTTCTAAGTCTGGCTATGTTTTTCAGGTGATAGTATGCTGATTTAGTAATTGTGTTAATATGGGATTTGAAATTGAGGTCGGGGTCCAGAACTACGCCTAGATGACTCACCTTTTCCGATGTATTTAGCAGTAGGGCTTCCAGTTTAGCGCTTACTCCAGCCCATTCCTCCCAAAGATAATTGTCTGTTCTTTTTGTTTAATTGTAGGAAAGTGTTGCTCATCCAGCTGCTGATTTGTTCCATGCTGTTGGTGAGGGGTTGTAATGGTCCGTAGTCAACAGGCTTTATTGTGATGTATAACTGAGTGTCATCCGCATAATTGTGGTACGACATTTTGTTTACTTTTAGGATCTGGCCTAGTGGAAGCATGTGGAATATGTTGAATAGAATTGGACCAAGAATCGACACACATGTCATGGCTGTTTGTACCAACAGACAGAAAAAAGTCCTTGTCCTGCAGACACGATATGAACCAATTAAGTGCTTTGCCAGATAAACCAACACAAGTCTGTCTAGTAATATTTTGTCCACTGTATAAGGCGGCACTGCTTAAAGTTTATTTGACAGCAAAACTGATGTTAACGGTTCTGTTGTGTTTATTTTTCGTCTATACTTGAATACAGTTTGCAGTGGCAGGAACAGAAACTGTGAGACTGTGAGGATACACTGTACACTAGAATGACTATACTACAGAGTTTTAAAATATCCTGTGCCCTTACATTTGTATTTAGCATTATACCCTTACGGTAAGTCCAGAAAAGCATTCAACAACCTGCAATTATATAGTGCACACGTACTGATTATCAAAACATGTATTTTAATAATTGACAGTAAAGTGATTGCCTGGATTGATTGTTTGTCGTTTTAGGTTTTATAATCCCCTAATGGAAGAAAGAAATAGACCTATAGTTAGGATGCAACTTCTGGCAGCATTTCTGAACAAGAAAAGTCAAAGAGTTTCAGAAAAAAATGAAAACAAAGTGTTTTTGCACGAGGCCATTTCTCCATAGCTGTTCTGAATCCGGGGAGCGACCCCAGAGGAGAGAATACGTCTCACGGGTCGCCAGATGGTTGTGGAGAAAAATAAAACACAACAAATAAAATAACAATATTTTAAAAAGGGAAATGGGACCTACAGTTATCATGTGCCAAAATGTTTAGAGAATAACAAATATTTGACAACTTCCCATAATGCAGTGCTCTCCAGACACATTAAAGAGGCCCTATTATAATTTTTGGGTTTTCCCTTTCCTGTAGTATATAGGTTTTAGTGCATGTAAATGGTCTGCAGAGGCTAACATCCCTGTGTTCCCTCCAGAAACGCCTCCATTGGACTCCTTTGTTTACTCCCGGAACATAGTGACATCACTACGTAACACTCACGCTCCTATTGGCTAACGCTCCAACACATTGTACCTGATAGGCTAAGGGGCGGGACATCTTTAAGCAGGTTGACCAATCACAACACTGCCGGGCAGCTGACCAATCAGAGCAGACTGGGCTCTGGTTTCAGGCGGAGGGTGAAAAGAGGTGCTGCAGCACAGACAGTATGAGAACAATAAAGAGCTTTTTGAACATTAAAGCATGGAGACATGTAGAGACACTACATACTGATATACACCTGAACATCAGCAGGAGAGGACTCTTTAAAGTAGAGGACACTTACATCACTGATATACACCTGAACATCAGCAGGAGAGGACTTCTTTAAAGTCGAGGACACTACATTTCCGTGTTGATATACACCTGAACATCAGGCAGGAGAGGACTCTTTAAAGTAAGAGACACTACATACTGATATACCACCTGAACATTCAGCAGGAGTATTTGGACTCTTTAAAGTTAGAGACACCTACCATACTGATATACACCTGAACATCAGCAGGAGAGGACTCTTTAAAGTAGACGACATACTGATATACACCTGAACATCAGCAGGAGAGGACTCTTTAAAGTAGAGACACTAAATACTGATATATGAACCTGAAAATTAGTATCATGTGTCCTCTTTAAGAGCGATCAATGTGTTGCAGCTGTATTTTCTTCAAGTCACTTTTCATATAACAAAGTGATAGATATATGTGTACAAAGGGCAACAATTTGTATGTAAACACTCTCAGAATATAATGAGACTGTAATGTCTTTAAACATCTCTACTTTCTTATAAAGGAATGCAATCGCCAAAAGAAGGACTCAAAATATAACACGTTTCATTTGAACCTGAAAATGAGCATCATGTGTTCCCTTTAAGAGCCATCAATGTGTTAAGAGCTGTATTTTCTTGGCGGTCGTGCCTCTGAAGTGTTGAAGTGCTGCTCTAACAGAGGTTTGTGTGTCTGTGTGTGCAGAGCAGTCTGAATGCAGAGCAGGGGATGGGCGTGGCGTCTCTGAGCGTCATCTACGCCTCCATCATCGTCTCCTCCATGTTCCTGCCTCACATCATGATCAAAAACCTGGGCTGTAAATGGACCGTCGTGGCGGGCATGGCCTGCTACGTCTCCTACTCCTTCGGAAACCTCTACCCCGGATGGTAATCAATAATACTACACACACTAATAAAATACACAAAAGCGGTGTTGATACCTGGCCGATTCTTTCTATCAAAAACTGTTAATAACGCATTTGTTTGGATGCACTTTGATTATCCCAGCAATGTAAAAAACACCACGCTCAAATAAATAACCGTAGAGCTGCAACTAAGGAATTGCAATTTTAAAAAAATTGTACTGATCCAATTAATAGTTTACAACTAATCAACTGCTCAATTCATTCTTGCAGCTTATCCAAAACTACAACTTTTAGAAGCATTTTTTAATTGGTCAGCACCATTCAAACATTTGAAGTTAAATTCAAAGGTGCATCGTTTGCGCAAAAGTTACATTCTGGGAGTATTCACTTAGAAATATGTATATAATTTAAGTTTAAAATACAATATAGCCTATACTTTGATGACAATTGTTGACAGATAAGGCTTAAGGCAAGATCGAATGATAATGGCCGTTATCGAACCCTACTATTATTATTATTTATTACATTTTAATTATTATTTTCATGTGGTTTTATTATCTATTTATCACTTAATACATTTTGTTCAAATATTCTTTTTATTATTTATATTATGTGTTTTTTTCTTATTTAATTAAAGATATTTTTGGGGGATTTAATGCAAAAGAAAATACCTGTTTCTTTGTTTTGTTGAACTTATGCTGCCTGTAAAGAAACTAGTCTGTAGTCTGAGCAAAGAACATGTATGGAGCTACCAAAAGGAAAAAAACAACTCTACATTTTCTTATGATTAATAATAATACAGGGTGTCCGCGGGGTCTTCAAAAGTATTAAACGGCATTTTCCAAAGTATTACATTGTGTAGCTCAGGGGCGTCGCCTGGGGTAGGCATCCGGTGCTTTAGCCCCGGATGTTTTTTCTTTAGCCCCGGACAACTTCTCCCTCAATAATATAATACATTAACCTACTTTACCTATAGGACAGACGGCAGGAATGTAATTTCACATGTTCAGTGAATGCAACACAGAGGCAACCTCTGTGACAATGTTTAAACTTTAAACTGTCAGCCCCGGACGCGGAGATTCTGAAGATGGACATTAGACATTTCTTTAATAAAAAAGACGGCAATTCTCAAGTGGTGGCTCACACAACAACCCCAGAGCCACCACCTGAGCCAGATGAACAAGGTATGTACCTGTCAGTAAACTTACAAGTTATGCGAACATGTAAGCAAAGCATAAATTATAACTACGTTGACGTTACTTTGAATCGCGCGGGTAAGCTAAACCGTTAGCAAGTAGCTATAGCTAGCCAGATATATTAAATAAACACTTTGTCATACAATCTAAATGTTGTGTTTTTTAGCGTTTCTTGGTGATTTCAATAGAAAGCTCTCTGGGAAATGTTGACTTACTGTCTGTGTTCGACATGAAGCTAGAAGCTACCTTACAGTAGTACACAGTTGATCCTGATTCCTGAGTCCTGTCAGTTAAAGTGTTTCATAGTTAGCTTAGCTAAGCATCAACCTAGCACTGAAATATATATGGATGTTATGTAACAGTATTTCTGAGAAAAAGTCATCTGAAATGGTGGCATAGTTGTCACTGCTTTACGTGTCGACAGCATGTTTGAACGTATTTGCAGCAGTACATGTGGCTGTCTGGCCACTGACGTTGCCATAACAACACCTGCATTTAAATGTGCAACCTCTTTTTGTGACAGATTTTGCATGAAAATATAATTCTTCTGATTGATATTTCCTATTGACAGCTAGTTTCTATGTGAACATTATGAGATGGACAGCCAGCTAACAAGCTTTTTATACAAATATTTCAGATCAAAGCCAATCCAGTGAAAGGGAGCAAGGGACACTATGCTCCCAAATATTAAGCCTTGACCCCCATCTTAAAGTTGATATGATCAAAAAATGATCTGCATTGTCGGAGGCCTTTTTTCCTCATTATCATGTCAAATTGTAGAGCTTTCCTAAGTGTTGAATGCAGAAAGATGACTATATTAGAGTATTAAATGAAAATGACTATATTAAAGTTTTAAGTAAATGTATTAAGTGAATTACTCAAACTGCATTTGTATAGGAATGATTCTGTCCTATTGGCAGATAACTACTCTTAACAGTGATATCTACAAGAGGTTTCCAATGTAAATTTAACTATTTTCAATTGGTTAGTATTACATTTTGTGACAGTGTGGTGACACTCATTTTAATGAAGACAAATGTGTGTATCTTGACATTCATTTATTTGACAGAGCTGGAAACTGATTGACTTACATACTTGTTTGTGTTTACCTACACAGTCATCACAGATGAGCCAAACAGAGTAGAGGATGAAGAAAGGAGAACAGGAGAAAGGGACACACAAGAAGGAGAAACAACAGACAAGAACAACAATGGAGACAACAATGAACAGGAACACCAGAACAGACAAGAGTCAATGAGTAACATGACTGATTTAGGGACTGCAGATACAAGTCAAGGCAAGTGAGACATCACTGCTTTCCATTTGGCCAGCAAAAGAGATCATTTCAACCGCAAACAGCAAGAGATGAGGGATTATTATTTCCTCCTTCCATCCCTTTTTTCTGTTTAATCTGATTACTAGCAACTTCTAATAATTTGACATAGTTTATGATTTAATTGGAAAATGAAGTGTTTTTAAATAATAAACCCGTTTCTGATTCTTTGATTTATTTTTGACATATGGGTGTTGAGAGATGTATCCATATATCTTAATGTTGCTCTCAAAGTGCACAAGATTGATGCTTTTAACTTCAGTATTTAAAAAAAATCTTCTTGGGGGACCCCAGAGGAGGTGAGTTCCCCCCAAAATAGCACTTTACCTCTGCTTATGTAACTCCGGTGTAGTGTCCCCTCGTCAACAGATCACTCAGAGCTGGTGATTACTTTCCTGCATTTCAATGGACAGCATATAAAAAGGACACGTGAGCTGCATTGCTTAAGAGATCCTCTCATGCTATCTCTTTTACAAAATAAGTGTCCAGTCAACAACAACACATCAGTGATCGTACAGTAATAGTGGTAGTATATTTTTCACAAGCAATGTGAAACATTAAACTTATACAAACTGGTGTACAAAACTCACATACCTGCGTTGATCTCCTGTCTCTACTCTTTCTTCTCCACATCTCTTGTCCACCATCAGAGATTGCAAACATTTCAGAAACAGCTAGAGGTAGGGGACAAACAACTTGTTCGCTGGGCATGTCAAAAACCTCCCTGCTTTGATCAAGACTTTAGGGAGCCTTTCAGCCCCTCTAGCAAAAGGACTGGAAAGCAAGCTTTGAAAATTCAGTACCATCTGCATGCTGTCATGTTCCAGACACTGCTCTCAACCACTCAGGGCCTGCACAAATACCTGCAGAAAGAAACAATTGACTTGGTGCAGGCAGTAGATTACAAGACAGCAGTTGAGAACACACTGAAAAGTTACCGAAGTAACGAGAAAGCACATGAGGTCTATGACAAGACCAAGGCCCTGTGCAATGATCTTGATATTCCCGAAACTGTGACACAGAGGAAGAAGCGTAGAAACATGGAAGACTTTGTAGTCAAGGCATCATGTGGAGCAATGTGAAACATTAAACATAAATAAACTGGTGTACAAAACTCACATACCTGCATTTCAATGGACAGCATAAAAGGACACGTGAGCTGGGTTCTGGTGCTCAGATTAGCTATTGATGATCACGTTGATAAATCATATAAAACAAATAGCCAATCACACAAAAAACATGTTGCTGTGACTGCGTGAGCATTAAACAATTAACATTAAACTAAACAAACACAACAGTACGTTATTGTCCTTATAAAATAAAAACATACATTTTGTCCACCGAGATAATACAGGCACCTTACGGCCCGTCCACACAGCAGCTTTTGGCGATTTGTCCACCGCTTCCAGCGCGTCTCCGCCCATTGACTTTGAATGGGGATGACGTCACTTTCCCTCGCTTGTCGCCGAACTGCATTGTGGGGGGGCGAGGCGAAGATTTCCAGGATTTCCAGGATGTTCAGGATTCCAAAGTTGTACATTGTTCAACTTTTGAGGCTGAGCCTGAAGCGACAGCCAATCAGATCCGTTTATGCAAATCTGACAGTTCAAGCGCTAGCCAATCAAACCGCGTGCAAGCTGGGAGAACGAGACCCGCAGTTCATTTCTATATTCCACAAAAATGGAGGAGAACTTAGTTATTGCGGTAGCAAATCACCCGGTTCTTTATGACCAGTCCCTATTTACTTACCGGGATACAAACCGGAGGAACCAGGCATGGGGGGGAAACTGGTAGGTTTTCGCTCGTTTGGGGATTTTATATCCAGTTTACTTCGTTGCTAGTTTACTTTGTTGCTAGCAAGCATAGACAGTATCATTAGCCAGCATGGAATGTAGCATAAAATAGCACCATAAACATTAATCTCATAAATGTTCAAAATGTTAAAAAAATAAATGTTCATCATAGCCCTTCCTATTTGACAATAGTGTAGAAGAACCGGGTTTTTTTGCTTTGTATGTCGGGGGCGGGATATTCATGTGATATTCATGTGATTGGTTGTTGGTCGCGAAATCCCCAAGCTGTCAGACACGCCCAGCTCCAGGATTTTCAAGATTTGGTCAAAGCTGCTGTGTGGACACCGTTACCCTCAAGAGATCCTCACGTGCTATGAGAATCTCCCACAATCCATTGCCGTAAAAAAAGCTAATGCAGGCACACGTTTGTGACACCAGATGGCGCAATTGTGTATGTGCGTGTGGGGAGTCTTGCAGTAGAAAATGTGACTGTAGCGCCGCCACTGTGGGCTGAGCCCCGAATGTTTCCAGGTCCAGGCGACGCCCCTGGTGTAGCTTGTTTTCAATAAGTATATACATGGTCCAAAGAGGTTGTATTCTACAGTCTGCCTGAATGTAATCATGGCGTAGGTGTGTAGTGTGATTCTGTGTAGTTTATTTATGGCATCCCGTTGGGTTTGACGTCATCTGAACAGGACATCGCACGCTCACTGCTTGATAGCGCGCCAAGGTCCGTTTACGCCGGTTGTTAAACAACATCGTTATGGGGAAATGCAAGTCTGCGTCCAAATGGTTGGAAGATAAGGAGGAAGGACAATCAATACTGTATATAGTCAATGTGAGGTCAAGTGTGTCGCCAAGGTAACCGGTTAAAACTCAAAGTGGCGATGAGGTCTTAAAATGTACGGAAAGGGTCTTAAAAAAGGTCTTTAAAGGAATTACATCTGACTTCAGGATTCCTGTAATAATAATGATATTTTCTTTGATTAAGTATTTCTGCTCTCTCTCTCAGGTACACCCTCATCCCCACCTCAGCAGTTCTGGGTTTGGGGGGGGCTCCTTTATGGTCGGCTAAATGCACGTACCTGACCATCGCCGGGAACGCTCAGGCGGCTAAAGACGGGAAGAAAGGATCCGACGTCATCAACCAGTACTTCGGCATCTTCTTCTTCATCTTCCAGTCGTCAGCGGTGTGGGGGAACCTCATGTCGTCACTCATCTTCGGACAGGACGGCAACATCGGTAGGAGAAGCCCTGGAAGGGAATAACATACAGGAGATATTAGGGATAGATGTAGGGGAAAAGTAGTAATATTCTATTGTTTTATATGGAAGTCATTTTTGTATTATTATTTTATCATGTTTTCTTTTTATAATTGAGTTAATTATTATAATTTGCTCTTCTTTATCGTGCAGTGCCTCATGATATCATATTTTCTAAAAAAGCTATACTTTTGTTTTTGATACTTCAAGTATATTTTACTGATAACACTTCAGTTTAACATCACTTTGTAACACTTGCGCTTCTATTGGCTAGCGCTCCAACACATTGTAGGCTACGTGAACAAAATGTGTATACTTTAAAGAGTCCTCTCCTGCTGATGTTCAGGTATATATCAGTATGTAGTGTCTCTACTTTAAAGAGTCCTCTCCTGCTGATGTTCAGGTGTATATCAGTATGTAGTGTCTCTACTTTAAAGAGTCCTCTCCTGCTGATGTTCAGGTGTATATCAGTATGTAGTGTCTCTACTTTAAAGAGTCCTCTCCTGCTGATGTTCAGGTGTATATCAGTATGTAGTGTCTCTACTTTAAAGAGTCCTCTCCTGCTGATGTTCAGGTGTATATCAGTATGTAGTGTCTCTACTTTAAAGAGTCCTCTCCTGCTGATGTTCAGGTGTATATCAGTATGTAGTGTCTCTACTTTAAAGAGTCCTCTCCTGCTGATGTTCAGGTGTATATCAGTATGTAGTGTCTCTACTTTAAAGAGTCCTCTCCTGCAGATGTTCAGGTGTATATCAGTATGTAGTGTCTCTACTTTACAAAAACCTAGATAACACATTACAGGAAAGGAAAACCCCCAAAAGGAATAATAGGGCCCCTTTAATTACAGTACAAGAGTAAATGCACCTACTTCCTGTGTTTAGCTGATGATGCACAAACTGGGCAAAGTCTAAGTGCTGACTGACCACTTTTTTTTTATGGCTTTAATTTATAGAGACTAGTTGTGTGTGAGCTCTGAGTGGATGATGTTACCTTCATCCGTTTATCATTTTATTGCTGTTAATGCTTCCCAGTTTATCAGCTCACATGATGTCAGGGGCATTTCTCAGAAGAACACCACAAAGATTTTTAATTATTATTCTATTTCCGGTGCTCAATTTGTTCTATAGGCTATAGATTATCTTGTTGACAACTAGCTTACATATAACATACATTTATACTGAAGCCCTGAGAGAACAGCAAGAACAATAAATCCTTATTTCTAAGACTGTGTTTATTTTTACTCAATATAATAGATGTCTTATTTATTTTATAATCAGTGTTTCCGCTTTGAAAGTTGCATTTTATAACAAAGAAACATGCGATAATATTTATTTATAATAATTAACAATACACTGTTAACTGAACTAGATAACTGATGAGTATATATACAAACATGTCTCTTAAGATATTCATATTTTTAAGTATTCTTTTTGTGTAATGAAATGGATGTATATCATTGTCTTTAAAAGGGTCTGCATACATTTTTATTTTCTCATTTAAACTCATATTGTTGGTTCTATGACTTATTGAAAACAATTTGTCCTAGAAGTTACACACTTAAAAGTAAAAATACACCCACTAGTTGGCTTCGGCTTCTTTCTTTGTTCGTGTTCTTGGTGAAGAGCGCTCTGAATGTAAATGTGTGTGTGTTTCCTGTCAGCGATCATCCCGGAGGAGCAGCTGCTGGCGTGCGGAGCGGCAGACTGCAGCCTGAACCTGAACATGAACAGCACCTCCACCCGGCCCGCGCAGGAGCTGGTGTGGACGCTCGTCGGATGCTACATCGGTAACTTCTACTATCAGGGGCTATATATTATTTGAAGGCATGTTTGGGCACTGGGTGTAATTGTATATATATATTGGAGACTATGGCAAGCCGATTTAGCTTTTATTCATTTCTGGAGGATATTAAAAAACAATTCTTACTAGTAACAATGTTTATTTCTGATATCAAAAATTCTATTTTAACTAGTTAGAATGCAAATTCTTGATATCAGAAATTCAATTGTAACTAGTTGTTCAATTGTAACTAGTTGTAATGTGTATTCTTGATATCAGACATTCAATTGTAACTAGTTGTAATGTGTATTCTTGATATCAGACATTCAATTGTAACTAGTTGTAATGTGTATTCTTGATATCAGACATTCAATTGTAACTAGCTGTAATGTGTATTCTTGATATCAGACATTCAATTGTAACTAGTTGTAATGTGTATTTCTGATCAGAAATGCGATTTAAACTAGTGAGAATTGCATCGTTTTTCTCATTCATTTCAATGGGTGTTGGCATTTGAACTGATGCCAATTTGCCAATTTCTGATATCAGTAATGAAATTGTTACTAGTTACAATTGCATTTGAACTAGTAAAAATACCAATTTCTGATATCAAGAATTCAATTTCAACTAGTCGAAATGCCAATTGTTGATATCAGAAATACAATTTCAACTAGTTATAAATAAAAATTGAATTATTGATTCAATTTTTTATATCAGAAATAAACATTATTACGAGTCAGAATAGATTTTTTGATATCCTCCAGAAATGAATAAAAGCTAAATCGGCTTGCCATAGAAGACAGGTGGAGATGGGAGTAGAGCACTAGTAGGCACATGGTTTTTTACCAAGGTGGTTCAAGCAGGAAAGAAAGAAAGCCATAGTAAAGGCTCAAGGAAAGTAAACCTGTTCATTGTACCTTTGTGATAGGAATAAAATGCACAGAACTAGCGATCTTGTCTGGACTTGGATCATTCCCTGCAATTTGCTATCTGGCGCCTCAGCGACAATCATACTTTTAAACTATGATGTTGGCCGCTACAGGTGTTGTGTAAGTGCCGGAGAGCACCTATGACTCGCGCATATGGACATAGTTTACGATATAAAAAGTGTGCAAATGTATTTAGTATTCTATCCAAATGGATTACCAGATTTCGTTTTGTTTCACTTGCCTCTCACGACTTCCGTAGTTTGGAAATTGTGTTGCAATTTCTTATTATTAATTGGGTATATTTGTGCTGGATGGTCTTATAGCAGTGAAACCAAAAAGTAACATTTGACAAAGTTCCCATAATCCTTATATTTTTGCTTTTATACCAGAAAAAAATAACCCTAAAAATCTTGTTTGATTGAAGTAGTACGCTGCTGGACAGTCTTGCACTAATGTACATTCTCAAAGATATTGAAATGCCAGTTATTTTGTATATATTGATTGTTGTGCTTTTATTTAGGTCTTAATGTGTGCATATAAATGGGTCTTTTGATTGTTTATATACATATTGTTATATTTTTTTTTATTCGGGATTGTGGGAAACGGTATGTCGATCTCTCTGTCTGTACACACAAACTGAAAGATGGACAATAAAGTTGACTAGTAAATTCACATTAAGTTTCTCTTTACCAAACCTTCATTGTCTTGCTGTATTTTAGGCGTGGGGGTGCTGGCCATGATCATCGTGGCCGTGTTTCTGGACAACATTGACCGGGAGCAGTCGAGTCACTTCAGGGAGAACCGAGAGCCGTTCTCCAAGACGTTCCTCGCCACGTTTCGGCTGCTGAAGGACTGGAGGCTGCTGACCCTCATCCCGCTCACCATGTACAGCGGCTTCGAGCAGAGCTTCCTGTCCGGGGAGTACACCAAGGTGAGGAGGCCAAATTCATTTTATATGCTACACAAATATGGCCAGGATCCTTTAAATTTTCGGATTATTGGGTTGCAGATTAGAATGTTCCAAAGGGGGGATTGTTGAGCATGAAACACTTGACATAACTAAAGGATACGTTAAAAAAGAAAGTAGAAAGAAAGTGAGGTCAAAGAAAACTATTGCTGCTAAAAAGTTAGCAACGATCGAGTCAGAGCTAAACATTTCAGATGTGTGTATCTCACACTGCACTGTCACTTTTATTCATGTACCTTTGTTATTCATGTTTTATTATCTGTACTTTGTCTTCTCTGTATCTGTGACACTATACTTGTATGCACTTGTCTTGTTACATTACATTACATTGCCTTTAGCTGACGCTTCTATCCAAAGCGACTTACAATAAGTACATTCGACCAGGAAGACACAACCTTGAAGAAAACAGAATCATATAAGTACATCATGCAGGTTTCATAGAGCCAAACATTTCAAGTGCTACTCAACTGGCTTTAGATAAGCCAGCCCTTTATTAGTATAAAAGTGCTTCGTTTATAATTCTATCGCTCGAAGTGGAGTCGAAAGAGATGAGTTTTCAGTTTGCGCCGGAAGATGTGCAAGCTATCTGCCGTCCTGATGTCAATGGGGAGCTCATTCCACCATCTTGGAGCCAGGATAGCAAACCCACGTGTTTTCGCCGATGGGAACTTGGGTCCCCTTCGCAGCGAGGGCGCAACGAGTCGTTTGGCTGATGCAGAGCGTAGTGCACGCGCTGGGGTGTACGGTTTAACCATGTCCTGGATGTATGAAGGGCCAGATCCATTCGCAGCATGGTACGCAAGTACCAGTGTCTTGAAGTGGATTCTAGCAGTTACCGGAAGCCAGTGAAGGGAGCGGAGGAGCGGAGTGGTGTGGGAACATTTAGGAAGGTTGAAGACCAGACGAGCCGCTGCATTCTGGATGAGCTGCAGAGGTCGGATAGCACATGCAGGTAGACCAGCCAGGAGGGAGTTGCAGTAGTCTAGGCGTGAGATGACGAGAGCCTGGACCAGAACCTGAGTCGCTTTCTGTGTCAGCTGGGGACGTATCTTCCTGATGTTGTAAAGCGTGTATCTGCAGCAACGGGTTGTAGCAGCGATGTTTGCAGTGAAGGACAGGTTGTTATCTAGGGTCACACCCAGATTCCTTGTAACTCCTCTATCACTAAATACAAATAACCTGCTTTCTAAATCCATGTTTTGTGTTTCTCTGCAGAACTACGTGACGTGTGCGTTGGGCATCCATTACGTTGGATATGTGATGATGTGCTTCGGAGCCACTAATTCCGTTTGCTCATTTGTATTTGGGAGACTCGCCCGGTACACAGGGAGAGCCGCTCTCCTCTTCTTTGGTAAATCCTCATATTTCAATGTTTGTTTCCTAGATTTCTCAGGAAAAAAATTGCCTTTTTAGCATTTTCCAGCTAAATCAAGAGGGTATTTTTATTGTTGATTTCGCTTAAATTGTGGGAGATTTTTGTCAATAATACAATAATAAGGAACACTTCATCTTATAGTTTGTTAGTTTGAGATACATACTTTTCAATGGACAGGCAGGAGTTAAGAACTGTTCATACATTTGTAAAGTAGAAGTATACATAAGCAACTTGTTCCTCACATTTTTATTAAAGTATACTAACGTTATTCATCTGGATTTGTATCTTCATGGTTGATTGCAGCTTTTATAAGTCATTTAGGATAATAGTGTCAGCTAAAGCAAATGTGGTGTTACACTACAGCTCACATGCATATAATGATACAGAACAATGAGACTTAAAATGTGAACATTGACTGAATAAACCTCTGATTTGTGTCTGTCTTCAGCTGCTTTGGCGAACTTCTCCTGTATCATCGCTCTGTTGTTCTGGAGGCCTCACCCCGACCAGCTGCCCGTCTTCTTCGTGTTTCCCGCTCTGTGGGGGATGGCCGACGCTATCTGGCAAACTCAGACCAACGGTAAGAAACTCCTGTCAGTTTTATATAATAATAATATTGAAAAGGGTCCGAAGATAAGCTTCCCTTTAGTCTTACCTGTCAGAAATAGTAGAGCAGGTGGACTCTTTTTCTTCTTCTATTGTTTTATGGCGGTTGGCAAACAGCTTTTAGGTGCATTTACCGCCACCTTCTGAAATTGAGTGTGGATCAGCACGGGGTTAATCTAAATTCTTAATGTAATTCCTGTCCTTTTTAAAAACCTAAATACTGCCCTGCATGCTACATCCCCTGAACTCCTTCTTAAAGTCTCTGCTATATTTAATTCTGTTTGATTTCTGATCAGTGCTTCCTTTAGTAATATACGTTCTTGATGGTATTTGGGACATTGCAAAACCAGGTGGACTCAAAGGCAACAGGAGCTTTTACAGAAACAACTTAACGTCACAAGACTTAAATACAAATTGATCTGATGAGGAGATGATAAACAAGTGGTTGCAGGTTCAGGTGAAACTAATACATAAGTGAAGGGTACGCTATCAAAAAAGGTGGGAAAAAGACAAAGGCAGGAAGTGAAAGGCAGACATGACACAAGGAGAGTTTACTTTCAAAATAAAAAAGGAAAGGGAGCCAGGATTCTGACACAGCACTTCTTTAACATTATATAATTGAACCTTTCTGCATTAATAAGTTCACGTTAAATGACTAAACCTATGTTATATATTTTGTTGTGTTACATTCACATCAACATTTTCAAAACTAGAGAAATGTTACGCTGTGTTTAAAATCTGGTCATCTGTAACTGTGTTGTGTTCAAAACCCCTTTGATCAAGCAGTTCAAATCAAAACTGCTAGAAAAATATGTTGTATCCAGTTTAAAGCCAGATTTGTGTCGCTATACTTAGACCGGATGAAGATTTTAGTCCTCAGACGCCTACATCTTAAAGTGCACCTATCATGTTATTTTTAGGCAATAGCATAGGTCTCAGATATATGAAAATATATTAAAAACATGTCTATGAAGTGTTTTGCTCAAAATACCAAACAGATCACCCGTTCTAGCCATGCCTCATATCCCTCTGTTTCACTTCCTGTTTCAAAAGTGCTGATTTGGGTATAAAGCTTTAAAAAAGCAGTGATGAAACACCATATCATGGATTATCAAGGATTCTCTCTGAAACAGTTTGGAGCTCAAAGGCTTTCTCTCTTGCCGGTTATACCACAAGGTGAGTTCCTTTTTATTTCCTGCTTCTTCACACACATGCTCTCCAGTACAGGTTAGCTCTGAGTGTTAGCGATGCTAATGTAAACACCGACCATATTACGTCCAAAACAGTCGGCCATTGTTTCTGATAGCAACGTTTCTGATTGGGCCGTGGATCCACATTTCAGATATTACGTCATATCGGACGCAAAACTGGATCAGCTCCGTTGTTCCCCCGTTTTTAGAGATTTGGGTACGGAGGAAAAGAGAGAGGGTTTTATTTTCTGACGCTGCGTGAGTTCCCCGACATACAGAGGACACATATTTATGTATAAAAGACATCAAAAAGTGCATTTTGCATTTAAGTTATAAGAGATACACCCTGAATAAAAGCTGGCAGTAGCCCACTGTCCACCAAAACTGCTTTGAGTGTTTTGCTTGGACTTTATTACCAGGTCCATTTGTTTTCAAGAGAAGACATGTGTGTTTAATTCCTCTCGCATTGAAATCCTCCCAAATGTTGAAGAAAATCAAAAAATTCCCACAAAGATGCCACACTATTGAATTGTCATCAATCTCTGCTTTTGTTCAGTTTGAGAGCCCCCTAGTGGCAGAAAATATACATGTTGTTTCTTTAAATGTCTTCCTTATATGTCTATATGTAAATGAGTTGTTTTAAAGGTCTCCTATTATACTGTTTTTCATCAATATATTACATGTCTCAGATATATACAGAACATGTCTCTGAAGTGTTTGTCTCCAAACGCCAAACAGATCATTGCAGCATTACCCATAATCCCCTCTGTTTCAGCCCTGTTTCCAAAGTGCTGATTCTCTGTCTGTTACTTTAGATGAAAATAAGGAGCCCCTCCCCACGCCCCTCTGAGAGACATTTGGTTAAAAAGAACTCAATGGTGCTCTAGGAGGAGATTCAGGTGATAAGGTGGGGGGGGGGTTACCTTGGTTGCTGATTGGCTAATGGTTACACAAGACAACACATCGTAATGACATCATAAAGTGGCCAAAATCTGATCAGCTCATTTTCAGACAGGTTTTTATAGAAATGGATCAAAAAGAGAGAGAATCTTTGTTCCTGAAACTTTCAGAGTCTCTCTCCACAGAGGGGACACATGTTGATGTAGAAGAGACATGAAGAAGAGGGGACACATGTTGATGTAGAAGAGACATGAAGAAGAGGGGACACATGTTGATGTAGAAGAGACATGAAGAAGAAGGGACACATGTTGATGTAGAAGAGACGTGAAGAAGAGGGGACACATGTTGATGTAGAAGAGACATGAAGAAGAGGGGACACATGTTGATGTTGAAGAGACATGAAGAAGAGGGGACACATGTTGATGCAGAAGAGACATGAAGAAGAGGGGACACATGTTGATGCAGAAGAGACATGAAGAAGAGGGGACACATGTTGATGTAGAAGAGATGTGAAGAAGAGGGGACACATGTTGATGTAGAAGAGACATGAAGAAGAGGGGACACATGTTGATGTAGAAGAGATGTGAAGAAGAGGGGACACATGTTGATGTAGAAGAGACATGAAGAAGAGGGGACACATGTTGATGTAGAAGAGGGGACACATGTTGATGTAGAAGAGATGTGAAGAAGAGGGGACACATGTTGATGTAGAAGAGACATGAAGAAGAGGGGACACATGTTGATGTAGAAGAGACATGAAGAAGAGGGGACACATGTTGATGTAGAAGAGACATGAAGAAGAGGGGACACATGTTGATGTAGAAGAGACATGAAGAAGAGGGGACACATGTTGATGTAGAAGAGACATGAAGAAGAGGGGACACATGTTGATGTAGAAGAGACATGAAGAAGAGGGGACACATGTTGATGTACAAAAAAACATGAACGTGTGGATTTTGCACAATAGGTGACCTTTTAGTTACATTTCTCTGCTTTCTGTCCCGCAGCTCTTTACGGGATCCTCTTTTCTCGGCACAAAGAGGCTGCGTTCGCTAACTACCGGATGTGGGAGTCCCTGGGTTTCGTTATCGCCTTCGCCTACAGCACCTTCCTGTGTCTGGAGACCAAACTGTACATCCTGCTGTCTTTCCTGGTGCTCACCGTCATCACGTACCCCATCGTGGAGTATCACGAACGCAAACACCCAACACCGTCTATACAGGAGGCCGGGCACCCGACCCACAACAAGGACGGCTTCCACAAAGACCAGGGAAAAATCGTCGCCCAGACACAATTGTAGAGACAGATTTACAGGAGTTTTTGTTTGTTTTTTTGCACCCTGTTCTGGACATTAAGATGGAAATTAAGGGCCTCACATTGATGCCAAAAATGTTTCGAATTACCCTGAAGAGAATTATGGAGGTTCAATCAGACACTGCATCCTGATTTTTACTGGTTCAGCCACCCTCCCTAAAAAAAACTCCTTTCCCCTTGTAGAACAATTACAATACATTTCAGAAAAAGTAAAAAAACAAAACATAAATATCTATTCTTGTATATTTGACTCAATGAGTTAGTAAAATATATTTTGTTTTGTGTCTCATTTACCCGTGTTAAAACGCAGATTATGTACATACATGGTAAATGCAGGTAAAATAGAGGTTATATTAGTGGATCTTATTGCCTTTTTTAAAGTGTTAAAGGGTTGTTTTACATGATCAGGATTTGTGCCATTATGAAACCAACACATTTTCTACTAAGCAGTATTGTTTCACATCTTTTTTTTAATGTTACTGAACTGTAACTGAAAAGCATAAACTGTAAATGTTGTTGATAAATGTTGAATAAATGTTTAACTATTTGTGTCAAAAGCAGTGGCGGCGCCAGAGATTTTATTTTGGGGGTGCTGTGGGGTAGCGTGACGTTTCATAGAGGGTACTCAAACATTTAGGGTTTCCCATTAAGGTACCGGGCTCTACAGTGGAATGTTCTACTGCAACACTCCCCGCACGCACACATACGGGCCGTGTCTCAATTCAGGGGTTGCATCCTTCGAAGGGTGCATTCGTAGACCGCATACGTCACTTCCGCCGAAAGAAGGCTATCCCAATTTTAAAAAAGACGAGACTCCTCCGAATGCGGCTGTCACTACCCGATCTGCAGCTCTGCCCGATCTGCAGTGCGCATGTGCGAGATGGTCCGCCATATTGGACAACTCCGGACGGCAACCCAAGTAGGACAACATTGACACAGTGGCTTTTGGCAAAGCTCAAAAATAAAACGAGAGATGAGTTATTGTTATTACAACGTGACTTCACTATTATTTAACAACTCTTTTTATTGGGTTCTTTTATTTGGGGTTAAGTTCATTGTCAGAATAAGTGAGCAATGGATTTAACTTCTGTTAGACAGCTATCATACTGAATAAATATTTACTGTGAATGTGTGCAAAAATGTATGGTATATGGCTGTCTAACAGAAGTTAAATCCATTTCTCATTTATTCTGACAATGTACTTAACCCCAAATAAAAGAACCCAATAAAAAGAGTTGTTAAATAATAGTGAAGTCACGTTGTAATAACAATAACTCATCTCTCTCTCGTTTTCCTTTTGAGTCACTGTGTCAATGTTGTCCTACCTGGGTTGCCGTCCGGAGTTGTCCAATATGGCGGACCATCTGGCACATGCGCACTGCAGATCGGGCAGAGCTGCAGATCGGGTAGTGACAGCGGCCCACGAATGCGGCCTACTTTTTATGGGATTAGTTTTGTATCATAAAGATAAAGCAACACTTTCTCGGAATAAAGCAAAACTATGAGTTTAAAAGAAAAAAAAACTGAGTCAAGCAAAATAAAATAAATTCCAAAAATAAAACTATAAGTTGCAAACAAATCATTTGTGTAATCATGTAAACTATAAGTCTTTTTTCTTTGTTTTAACATAGGTTTGTGTTGTATGGGATTAGTTTTGTATCATAAAAAAAAACTAATCCCATAACTTTTCCCCAATTTGAAGGATACATCTGATGTACACTCCGCGGCCTACCATATCCCAGGGTGCAATGCGCGCAGGGAAGAGGGAGTTTTTTTCAAATTAAATGGCTTCCGGTCTCCCCAGCAGAGTGGATTTAAAAGCAGCAGCTAGCGGAGGAATCACTAATAAATGTGAGTATTGGGTACAGAAAAATTAAGACTTATTTTAAATATATGAAATAATATGATTAAATTACATCAGCTATATATCATTTACTTGTTAACTTACTAATGTAACATTACTGGGGGCTAAAGGAACAGCTTCATCTTATTTACCTGGACATGGTTCTCTTTATTTAATCTCCGACGGTGATCTCCAAAAAATTTTAAAGTAAAGTTTCTGGATCCTTTTCAGCTAATTTGCTAGCAGGCTGCTGGAGCAACGCAACCGAACAGCGCGTATCACGTGACGTATATACGAAGCGCTCCGTAGGCTAGACCGTCTCATTTCGTAGGCCGCTCGGTCCAGCCAGCCTACCCGGTCTACGTGGGCTGGGTACTCCGTGGACCGCGTAGGCTGCGTCAGCGCCATGCTGCATACTCCGAAGGATGCAGCCCCTGAATTGACACACGGCCACAGTGTACCGACTGTTACTATGAAGGCTCGATAATCAGCTCACGGCATATAGGTGTAAGCAGGGGTAAAGTACTATTTTTATTGCAAGTTGGGTGTGGACATAACATCCTCTAGGGGGGTCCGGGGGCATTTAATATTGAACTAAATGCATCATTCTGGTGCAATTTGAGAGCAAAATGAAGAGATCTATGGATACATCTCTCAACACCCATTTGAAACAGAACTGTAAACAGCTTTTCTATTTCTTTATGGATATTTTATAAATCACTCCCCTTTCAAACTTTATTCTTGTGTTACTGTCATAGTATTTAATAACTGTTTTTCATTTATGCTCTTATTTTTTTATACTGATCATAAACGTGTGCCTCAGAAATACTTATTAATCGTGACCAAACCGTTTTGTGACCCACTGAGATAACTTAGACCAGTGGTTCTCAACTGGTGGGTCGCGAACTCGCGACCCAAAAGCGGGTCGCGGACCCGTTTCGAGTGGGTCGGATGTGTGAGTGAAGAAAAAAAAATTCAATTTTTTTTTTAAACTTCTTTCTTTTTTTTTTGTTGGGGAAAATCAAACTTTTATTTTGAAGGCCCGATTTTCTAACGCTGTACATCAGGGGTGGGGAACCTTTTTCCTCTCAAGGGCCATTTCAATTTTATCAACATCCTCCGAGGGCCGTACAAATGATTGACCTCTGCTTAAAAATACTAAAATCACCGCCCATTCATTTCGCCTTTCTTTCATGCTGCGCAAAGAAAAAGCAACCTCTTAATCCAGATATCTTACCATGACTCGCGCATGCATGCACGTGCACGGTTGTGGCATGACCACTAAAACAGAAAGATATGGACAAAAGATGTGTGCAAATGTATTTAGTTTCCTATCCATGTGGACATGATTTAGGTGGGGGGGTGGACCTAACCTCCTCTAGGGGGGTCCGGGGGGCTATGCTCTCCCAGGAAGATTTGTTTTTTAAATGTTGAAGTTAAAAGCATCAATCTGGTGCACTTTGAGAGCAACATTAGGAGATCTATGGATACATCTCTCAACACCCATATGAAACAGAACTGTATGCAGATTTAATTTTCTTTATGGATATTTTACAAATCACTCTCCTTTCAAACTGTATTCTTGTTTAATAATAACAACCTTTTTTACTGTCATATAGTATTTTATACCTGTTTACTTTATTCTCTAATTTTTTATAACTATAATGATCATATAAATATGTGCCTTTACCTCACTGGTTGGAGAAAAAGCTTCTTATATTCGTTAGCATAGCTAGCTAACCAGATGCTAATAACAACAAAGTTATTGACTGTATGACAGGTGAACAGATCGCCACTGGGCTTTCAACTAAAGACACAGCCATGCAAAAACTGCGGCATGTGTACGGCTCCTTATGGGTACTGCTTGGAAGTTCCGGAGCGACGTTCTGGTACTCTCCGTCAGAACTGCACCCCTGTCAGACGAGATATGTACCACGTGATGACACATTAGGCTCGTGTTGTGTTCATGGACCCTGACCTTGGCCAGGAAAAACAGGCACTCGCTTTGTTTAATTTGTTTGCGGTCTAGATTTCTTTAATTTTTTTCTTTTTTGCGTGTGTTTATAAATTACCTCGAGGGCCGTACCAAATGGTCTCGCGGGCCGTATACGGCCCGGGGGCTAGAGGTTCCCCACCCCTGCTGTACATGCAGGGGCGGATCTACGGGGGACAACTGCCCCCCACTGTAGAGCCTTGCCCCCCCAGCTGCCCCCCTAACTTTTGTTTCCCTAAAACTGTACTAAAACAAACCTACACTATTTCCACAAGCTTCTCTAGCAACGAAACAAGCATTACATTAGTTAAAAGTGAATCATTTTAAATATCATTTTAGGCCCGTTAAAAACGCAGCTACGGCCCTGCATTAAACTGCGGAGCGGCGTTCACACAGACCGCGGCTCATAGAGCTGCAGAGAGGGAGCGAGCTGTCCCAGCGCCGATGGGTCAGCTTCCCCTGGGAGCATTTCCCTTTCCACTAGTTTTGTTTTTACTAAAGACGAGAGCTTGAAACTAAATATTAATAAAACGCTACCGTTTGAATCGATAGCGTTTAACAGACGGGCGCTGTTTGGGGCGTTACGTTACAAAATACTACGCAGACAGCGTTAGCTGGGAGATCGATCACTTCGCTAAACTACACGGTAGCCTACTATTAAATCCACGTAAACTACACATCACAGCCATGAGGCCAGATCAATGAAACCAGGATACATCCTTTACCGTAAAAACTGGATCCAAACACAGCTGCCTGTGTGCGCTTGATAAATACTTTCTGATGATATGCTACATATTAGCTAGGCTACATGGCCCTAACGTGTAAAGTTATACAAGCATTTGTACCAGTGCTTTTCACAAGTAGACTCTTGCAGGCCAGAGTATAGGAGTGATTCAACAACAACACAAAGACATATGAGAAGTGATCAGGACGAACAGAAAGAGAGAGATGAAGAGAGCAGGAGGGTCAGAGCAGGAGGAAGAGGAGGAGATAAATACATTAGTGAAGAAGAAGAAGACATGTATGTGAGGAAGATGAAGAATCAGAAATAGGGGATCAGGAAGCAGATGAAAATGAAGCTCTTAGTATTGACAAATATTGATTGAAATGTGTTGCTGCACAGGTTACCTGTAGCTCTCTGAAGAGATGGGTGATGTCATTTGTGTACTTAATTATAATTAAGTACTTACAGTATGCAGAATTCTGAGTATTCTCTGAATCGGGTGCCTTTTGGGTCTTTATATCTTTGAAAAATGAAACCAAAATGTTTGGTCATAACATCTGGTAGTGGACTACTTACATTTTCCCACCTCAGGCACAACATATAAATAATTACTAGGAATTTCCTTGTGACGGGGTTGAAGTTTTTGACAAAAAGTAGCCATGAGACCTTGTTTAGCTAAGATATGGCACCACATGGAAGTCAAGGACATTACAAAATTGTAATATTTTGCAAAACTATTGTTTATTTTGTAATAAACAATTATTTACTATTATTAATTCATATAACAGAGTTGAAATGTTCAGCTTGTCAATCTTAATCTGAAAATACAAAAACTGAAATATAGGTAAGAGAAGAAACTGACACTTTTGTGATGTCATTCCCTCAATGCAGATCACACATGGACTGATCCACACATGGACTGATCCATTATTTTAATAGGAGGGTAAATGGTATGGCGTGACGGGGTTGAAACAAACTGAGGGACGTGTGTAATTCAAGT